TTGGTGATCTGTCTAAGTGAGGATGGCATGTGACTTAGAAGGGAGCTGATGAGATGATAGTATTCCCATCCCTCAGCAGTCCATGTCCATGTACCGTGATCTTGTTCTATGTACCTATATTTGCAGGACTGTGAAAGGTATTCTGCCTTTTTCGTTGAACTATGTCCCAGTGTTTATATAAACATTGTTTCTTGCCAAAGCCATGTTCATTTTTAATTCTTTGCATCCTTGAACATGAGGATTCCTCTCAATCAGTTGATTTCTGTCACATGTCACACCTGTAATTTCCTTGCAGTTAACTCTGGGTCAACAGAACACTAACACATCTAACCAGGCAGCATCTGGAGGAAAGGAGAAGTCTTGCTGTGTTCTTCTAGCTTCCTGTTTGTCTACCTTGGATTCCAGCATCTGCAGTTTTATTTGTCACTAACTCATCTATCTTTGTGTTCTTGTCAGTGGAAAATAAGATTTCATGCAATTTCTCCTTTTACTTTTGTAAAAGTAGTTTTGTTTATTTACCAATTCAGAAATAACCAAGGGCTGGTTGATTAAATGCAAAATACTGTTGCTAGAAATCTGCAATAAAAACTGCAAATGCTGGAGAACCTTGACAGATCTGGCAGCATCTGGCAGAGTTAGCGTTTCAAGTCCAGTATGACTCTTCTTCTCCAGCACTCCCTGTTTTCATTTGAGGTTTGATTGATGACACTTAAGTCTCTGAGTCAGAAGGCTGCAAGTTCAAGTCCCGCTCAAGACTTGAAAATAGTTCCTAGTCTGTTACCTCATTGCATTTGAGGCAGTGTTGCATCTTTCAGATGAGGTGTTAAATCAAGGCTCATCTCCTTACTAGTGGACATAAACTGAAGCAGAGCAAGAAGGAGCAGTGTGCTGGCTAGCATTTATCCATTAATCTACGCCACTACAACAAATTATCTGGTCATTGTCACGTTTCTGTTTGTGGTACCTTGTAGTGCCCAAATTGACTGCTGTATTTCCTATAATACAGCAATAACCATGCCTCAAAATGTACTTAATTGGTTATAAAGTGATTTGGGATGACCTGAAGTTGCTAAACATACAAAGAAGGAACAAAAGTAGGCCTTTGAGCCTGCTGTGTAATTCAATAAGATCATGGCTGATCTGACATCAACCTCAACTCTCCATTCCTGCATACCTCTAATAATCTTTCATTCACTTGGTAATTAAAAATCTGTCTACCTCTGTCTTAAAAATATTTAAAAGATTCTGCATCCACTGCCTTTAGTGGAAGGCAATTCCAAAGACTGTCAACCCAATGACAGAAGAAAAAGTTACCTGGTCTTATTTTTAAACTATGACCCCTAGTTCTAGATTCTCCCGCAAGAGGAAATATCCTTTCAACATCCACCCGGTCAAGTCCCCTTAGATTCTTATGTTTCAATTTAGTCACCTCCAACTCTTCTAAACTCCAGAAAATACAGCCCAGCCTCTCTAGCCTTTCCTCATTGGGCAGTCTGTTTGTTCCAGGAATTAATCTAGTAAACCTTCTCTGAACTACTTCCAATGCGTTAACATCCTTCTGCAAGTATAGTGATGAATACTGACAACAGTAGTGTCATAGAGTAATACAACATAGAAACAGAACCTTCAGCCTAACAAATCCACGCTAACTACCAGATGCAGTGTCACCAATGCCCTGTATAACTGAAGCATAACCTCCTTACTCTTGCATTCAATTCCCTTTGAAATAAATCGTAACTTTCTATTAGCTTTTCTGATTATGTATGCTGTACCTGTATACTAACCTTCTGTGATTCACACACAGATCTCTGCATTCTCAGACCTCTGCAACCTCCCATCATTGAAATAACATTCTTTTTTCTGCCAAAATGGACAGTTTCACACTCTCCCACATTATATTCTGTTTGCCAGATCTTTGCCTACTCACTTAACCTATCTATATTCCAGTTACGTCCTCTTCACAACTCATTTTATGACATACCTTTATGTCAGTGACAAATTTAGCTACTGTACCTTTGGTCCCTTTATCCATTCGTTTAAATAAATTGTAAGAAGTTGAGGCCCTAGTATCAACCCTTAAGGCACATTGCTTGTGAAATCCTGGGCCAGCCTAAAAAGACCCATTTATTCCTATTGTCTGGTTTCTGTTAGTCAGCCTATCTCTTATCCATGCTGATATGTTATCCACTACACCATAAACTTTTATTTTTCGCAGTAATCTTTCATGTGGCACTTTATCAAATGCCTTCTGGAAGTCTATGAACATTACATCCATTTGTTCCCCTTTATCTACAGCACAAGTACTTCTTCAAAGAACTCCAATACATTGGTTAAACATGATTTCCGTCTGACAAAACCATGTTAGCTCTATCTGATTATCTTGAACTTACCCAAGTACCTTGTTATTTACATCTTTAATAATAGCCTGGAACATTTTACCGATGACAGATGTTAAGCTAACTGGCCCGTAGTTTTGTGCTTTCTGCCTCCCTTTTTAAACAAAGAATTACATCAGCTATTTTCCAATTTTAAAGAACCTTCTCTGAATCTAATGAGTTCTGAGAAATTAAAATCAATACATCCGTTATCTCACTAGCTTCTTCATCCAGACATGGAGACTTGTCAACTAGTAGTTCTAGTAATGTACCCAGGACTACTTCCCTGGTAATTGCAATTTTCTTGCGTTTCTCCCTTCCTCTCAATTCCTGATTGACAGCTATTTCCAGGATGCTACTATGTAAAGACGAGGGTCTGGCATAATAGTAATGTCAGTGGATTAGTAATCCAGAGCCCCAGACTCATGGGGACAATCCCATAATGGCGGAGGCATAAAATTTGAATTCAATAAAAATACAGAATAGAAGGCCTAGACTAATGGTGATCATGTAACCAATGGTAATAGTCATCAAAAATCCATCTGAGTGACTGACATTGTTTAGGAAAGGAAAGCAGCCATCTTTGTTTGGTCTGGCTATGTGGTACACTAGACCCACAGCAATGTGGTTATTTCTGAACTCTCATTGTCATCATACGTAGTCCTTCAATCACAATTGTAACTGATCATTAGCTGCTTCTTTTGTATAATCTCAGTTTTGGCTATCATATCTGATCTGTGAAACTGAAGGCCTCCTACGTTGTGTGCATGTAGGAAGGTAGGACTAGGAGTAGTTTGTTTAGTCCCTTAATATGTTCTACCATCCAGTCAGATGATGGCCAATCTGTGATCTATCTTTGCTCCCGTGACCTTTAATACATTTCTTAACAAAAATACAAATTATTTATGAATATAGTGAAAAGCTGAGGCTACAGTGTCGATGCTTGACAGCATGATCAGTCACATCCTGCCAATTTGGATACATAGCCATTATTGCCAACTTTCTATTTTCTACCCCCTAAGCAATTTCCAACCAAACCAATTCATAGTCCAGATTGTACAAATCAAAATCCCTCTGTACTCTGCTCTCCATTACCCTGTCCTCTTTTAGGACACATCTTAAAACCAATTCCCACCTATTATTTCCTTAACCAGTTTGTTTTTCCTTTCTCCTATGTAAAGTGCTTTGACACATCTTTTCATTTGAATGGTGGTGCATCAAGTCTTCCACCTTCTCCCCTGTTCATTCTTCTCTTCAAAGAATAACTTTTGTTGTAAATTTTGTTGATACATCTTAAGGTTGTAATAAGCCAGTGCATAAGTTCAAGTTAGGAAGATATATATGTGAAGTAACTGTTAATAAGGGAGTTTCAGGATTTTGGAAACTTGAAGGAAGAATGTACTTCCAAGTCTGGAGGGTGTGGATTGGAGAGGATCTTGCAGATGGTGATGTTTCCATGTGCCTGCTGCCTTTGTTTTTTCTATGTGGTAGAGGTTGTCTTGTCAAGGCAGCATTGCTGAATTGCCACAGTGCATCCTGTCCATTCAAGACTAACAACTATTGGACATTCAAAACACCTGCATTTCAAGTCCTTTTTTTAAAAAACTTTCAGTTTAAAGTTAAAATCCTACCAGGTGTACTCTGTTAAAGTATTACCTGAGGGTGATCATTAAAAAGTTGCCTTTAAGTTCTGTTCTTCTTCCCATCCTCCCCACCTCTTTTTCCTGGCATTGATATGACTCATGGTCTCATGACCATGACAACTGCAGACATGAACAGAAAGGTTCAGCCTAATGGAGGCATGTTGTCTGTGGATATGGACTCAGCTTAAATTGAGAAAGATATTAACAGTTGCATACTCACAAATAACAATAATAACAGACATAAAATTATACATTGGGCCACTGAATTGTTTCTAAATGTATAATGCTGAATTCTCCACAACTTTTAAAATATACTAATTTGGGGTATAATAATAAATACGAAGTAATGAAGTGCAAATTTATGTTTTTAAATTGCACGTTACGGTTTAAATTTCCAGTCTGCTTTGTGCAATTTAAAGACTTGAGTTGGTTAAACCCTGGCTGTGATGAATAAGCTGCTCAAACAAAAAAACTAAATAAATGGGCTGCTGAAATATATACTGTTTTATTATGAGTATTGGCCACATGCTTTCACTAATTTCAGATTGCTTTTTAAATGAAGTCAGAACAGGCTGCACAGTATCTATAAGGAACAATGACCTTACAAGCAAACAGAAAGCATTTACTCAGCACAAAAATGGCGAGAATACGCAAGTAAGCAAGCAGTGGACATTAGCTGCAATGCTACACTGTAGGTCATGAGTGAAAGATCAGCTGCTTACATACAAAATGAAAACAAACTCCACAAGTGAAAACTCTATTTGAGTATTAGCTGCATTGCAATAAAGCATTGCATAAGGTGTGGTCAATAATAGAAAAATAAGCAAGGTTGCAAAACTATTCGTGAATAAAAGATTATCCTCATTTTCATAAGTTTCCAGAAAAATCAATGGGAAATGGTGACTGTTAAACTGTGTATCTTTTATTTAAACAATCAACTCTTATTTTAAATTAATTGTTGTATTTCTTATTTTTTCTATAGGAGAAAGAGAAGAAGTATATGCTACCACTGGACAATCTGAAAATTCGAGATGTGGAGAAAACTTTCATGTCTAGCAAATATGTCTTTGCACTTTATAATACAGAACAGAGGTAAGATTGCTAGGAAACTGAGTTTACATTTTTTGTGGTTAGAATCAGGGGCTGGATATTACATGCCACAACTGTTGTGTTTCAGCTGTGGCAGAGGGCAGGGGTTGGGGGGGTTGGGTGTTGGTTACTGTCTGGAACAACGGCAAGAAGAAAGGGGTCTCCTTTTTCGGTGGGGGTTGCGGGGAGATATGCCCTGCATGCAAAGGGCTTATTTCCAGCCCGTTGATTTGCCACTGACTTCCCTTCCAGGCCCCCTGAAATCTTCTGCCCCAGGCCTTTATATTTTCAGGAGTAGATACACTTCTGAGGTTTGAGCAAATGCTTATTTTACAAAAGCTATGTTTGTCTCTTCTTCATTGCACAAAATGTGTTTGCTTAGAGAAATTATCTAAATAGTGTCAAACTTGGAAAAAAAGTCCTTTTCAAATTGTTAAATAAATTACATAGAAGGAAATTATAGTTATATTGTCATTTATTGCCATTTCGTTTTGAAAAAGTCAGTTTTCATTGTGTAATGGAAACCCATGAAATGGCTCCCTCACCCATCTAGACTTAACCTAGTGCAATAACTTAAGAAATATTTGCAATCTAGCATGTTGTTTAGGCTTCCGCAGTTGGGTAGCTCCAGAGCTGCTCTCTGGCACTATGAAGTTATAGCCAGGCTTTTGTAACATAGCTGCTTTCTGTGCAACTGACAACAGCGAAAAATTCCAATACAGTGGGATTCTCATTTTTAAAAAATTCAGGTAAGTCTGAGGAAGCATAAACATTATTCTATAAGAAAAGGCGTATTGTTCATCAGCTCCTAATTGATCCAGCAGTGTGTAAAGCTGTATGTCTTATTTTACTCAATAATAAAGTCAATTTTCACACAAATTGATATAGTCTTAACTTTACATCCATTAGACATGCTTGTTTTAAAGCAATAACTCTATCTTACAGTATTAGAGTGATATATTGTGCTTACGTGACCTTATAAAATAGCATATTACTTGACCACCATTGAGCAGCACAACAGGAGCTTAATTAGTGCAGTCTCCATGGCTTATGAGTTGGTGTTAACATGATTTGGCTGCTACATAATGGGCAGTAAAACCAGAAATTTAATGTAACCAACATATTTTTTAAAAAATCCTTGATACAATATGCCTGAAATTTTCACTTAACAACTGCCTCCTACAGTACAGATAAATACCATGGAGATGGTAGAGCTGAATTGCTGATTGTAGTTGCTTGAAAACCTGTTGTCTGAAAGAGTCAGTGTGCTGCTCAATATGTTTGGTAGGTTTGATGTAATTGACTTTTATGGAATTGCTTAGCTATTTACCTGTTAAAGGTGACTACCTATGATAAGTGTGGATGCTGAGACCAGGCCAACATCTGTAGCATTGAGGTACTGACCACCCTTGATTGGCTACAATGGGCTGGGTATGTCACCCGCATGACTGTCACGAGACTCCCGGAGCAGGGGCTCAACTTCCAGCTTCGAAACGGCAGGCGAGCCCCAAGTGGACAGAGGAAGCCCTTCAGTGATACCCTCAGAGCCTCACTGGCGAAGTGTGGCATTCCCACAGACACCTGAGAATCACTGGCCCAAGTCTGTCCAAAGTGGACGAGGAGCATCTGGGAAGGCATCGAGCACATCAAGACTTGCTGTCAGGAAATAGTGGAAGCCAGGCAAAATCAGCAAAAGGAGCGCGCTGCTACACTAATGCTTCACCCACTTCATCCCTCGACCACCACCTGCCCCAAGTGTAACAGAGACTGCAATGGCCATTTCGGTCTGTACAGCCACCTACAGACTCACCCTGACAATGAAAGAGAGTCATCCTTGTCTGCGAGGGACCACTGATGATGATGATGAAGGACACTGAGAGTGATAGGGATTGCGTTAATATTAAAGAAGTGGTAAGTTGGACTGCATTTCCTTTTATATTTGCTGTGTCAGATTTTGGACGCGGTGCTCAGGAATCAAACTTAGTCAAATCCGATTTCTTCCACGAGGCTGCCTTCAGTCTGATGTCTATGAAAGGGCAGGAAATCAGCAATTGCAGAATCAACAATAAAAGGATAGTAAACCAATCAGAGCATTCATTCATGTTTCCAGACGATTGCTACCAAATCAAAGTTAAGTGACTCTCGGGACTATTAAAAATCTAACAAAAGAAAAACACCAGAGATCTGAACAAATGCCAGGGGTTCCTGGCACAGGCAGTTCCTGGTAGCCTTTGATTTCAGTGCAGCAGCTTGGACATGGTCAGATGTTCAGTTGGGGTGCTCTTGGTCAGGGAGTCTGTGTCAACATATTTTGGCTCCACAGCGGCCACTCTGGGGGGTCGTGCTATCACTTGCGAGGTGATGTGCAGTCATCACCAAGGGCTATGGGGCTGCTTGGTTTGGTTGCTTAAGGGGGTGGACCACAGTCAGTCCATGGCCTCTGATGGATAAACACAAGGTGGGAGGATTGTTGGGATAAACTGAAGCAAGGAGACTGGAGAACCTAAGCATGAAGATTGGGGCTACAGGCTGGGAGAAGGGTGGGGAAATGGTTATTGTAAAGGAGGCAACTGTATATGTAAGGGAGCAGTTACAGTAAAGTATGGATGGGAAAGGGGCCAAGTGAAAGGGGCAGGGTTTGTTCTTGGTCAGCAACATCCTGACTGTCAGACAGAGAGAGAGAATGCAAGACCGCACCTGCCATGATCAACTCAAATGGTAGAGTCTGGGGAGGAAAGGTGGGCTGGTACAGACAAATATAGACAGGTTGGATGTGAACCCCTTCACATAAGAAGGAGAAATCTTCAAGCAAGCCATACCTGAAATAATTTTAGAGCTTACTTTTGTCTTTATAAATACCTTTGATCTTTGCCTACTTTTAATCTTTGTTTCAATATTTCAGCCAAGAACTTTATAATTATTTACTTTAAATAACTTTAAGTGAGAGCTGGGCAATAAACTAACACGTATATGTTAGCACATAAAGCTGTGCTGGTTACTTTAAAATTGTAACACTCAAACTAAAACAGGGCTATAAATGAACTGTACACATTTGCAGCTCATTAACCACTTCTGAGGATAACTCTGTGGTTGTGACATAATTGGAAATAAACAAGGGCAATTCTCCCACCTCCCTGCCCCACCCAGCTCTCAGCAAGAGCAGAAAGCCTAGGGAGACGGGGTGTGGTCAGCTGCTGAACGGTAGAAGATTGGAGGGATCATAAAACACAATGGGAGAACATAGGATCTGACAAATTTGCAAAGTATTTATAGCATAGAAACAGCCCATCTTATTTTTTTTCTTTATTCTTTAATGGGATGTCAGTGTCACTGGCAAGGTCAGCATTGTTACCCATTCCTAATTGCCTTTGAACTAATTAATTACTAGAGGGCAGTTAAGAGTCAACCACATTGCTGTATGTTTGCAATCATATAAAGGCCATGTCCAGATGAGGATGGCAGATTTCCTTCCTTAGAGGACATTACTGAACCAGATGGATATTTTATAACAATCGATGATCACCATTACTGAGGCTGCTATTCAATTTTGGAATTATTTAAATTCCATGCCATGGGGGCATTGGAAGCCATACTTCCAGAGTATTAGCCTGTGTTATGACCTGAGCTGATTGTAATACTGGTCAAGTCAGATCATAGAGTTAAACATGGCTTGACAGATCATGAGCTTTATTTTTGCAGTTTCATTACCATGATGGGCAGTCATTGTACATACTCGCGTGAGGTTGCAAATGTTCTTTCAACAATGAACACAAGTTTATTACACACACATACAAAAGACAGTTTAGAAAGATCTTAAAATAAACAGCAGGTTCAACCCTTTCCCTAGCAATATGGTTTACAATTACTCAATCCCAGTGAAGCATCACTTCTAACTTAACTCTGTAATTTCTCACCCAAATGACTCTTCTCTGTCCTTCAAGCATGGGAGAGATGGGAGAAAAAAATAGATAAAAATTAGGACTCGCAATTAGAATGGTCGCATGATGGGGGAGAGTGTGTAATTTTGGCATAATATTAAGTTATAAGAGAAATTTTAAAAAGCTGAGTGTATTCTGCTGTGGTGATGACGATGACCATGGCTTTGTTATACATATTAGAATTGAGGGAATGGGTGAAGAGAGAGAGATTGAAAGAGGCATTTGTTAGTAGTGTGACAAGTTAACTGGGAATAGTTATTACAATACTATCTACCATTGATCCACAAATTTAATAAAATCCCAGTGAGATCACCAAAATGACCAATTTGCCTGCCTGTCTGGAACTCAGGAAATTGGCAATTCATACCAGGTTTCTTCAGAATAATAAAGAATAACTCTATTTATCTTAAAAAGGACAGGAAACAAAGGATTTTTAATTCATGTAACTTAAGTCAAACAAAGAGTTTAGCACTTCCATTATAAATGGAGAAAGAATACAGACAGGATAAATGAATTTCGGAAGATCAAAAATCCAGACCAGAGGTTGGAAAATTATTTTTGTCTGAGTCGTTTTGATTTTGCAGTGGTGATTTGCCGTGGTTTGCAAGGTGACAGCCATTCTTTGATTCTACAGTTGATCAAGTGTGCTTAGGTCCTTTCTTGTATGAATTTCTTCTACTAAGCATTCTTGTTTTCTCTGTATTTTCCCAGAGGGTGAGGTGGATGCTTTCTGTATACAAGATGTCGATGTTTTTTCTTTCACTTTGCAGCTCTTGGCATTTACATCTTTTTAACATTCTGCAGCTCAACCAATCGTATGGATGTTGTCAGGCAGAATTTCCTAACTGAAAAGATTCTTTGTACCATTCACTGTTGAATTTTACCTCTTGCTGCTTCCATATGGAGTGTCGGAGGCTGAGGAGTGACCTTGTAGATGTTTATAAAATCATGAGGGCCATGGATAGGGTGAATAGATAAGGTCTTTTCCCTGGGTTAAGGGAGTCCAAAACTAGAGGGCCTAGGTTTAAGGTGAGAGGGGAAAGATTTAAAAGGGATCCAAGGGGC